CTGTTAAAGGTGGTAGGAGAGTATTTGTTTCGGAGTAGTATAACTTAGTTTTTTTATAATTTAAAAATTTCTATTTACCAATCAATATCAATATACCTGTTAACAATGAAATGGATTAATAATCATTATATGATAAATTGGAATAATGTTTGTCACACCTGAATTTTCTGTTAGTCCAGAATCTAAGCTTTCCCTTGTTTTATTTATTTTTCATTACTTTTTTGGGAAATTAGAGATTGTTGGCTTTAATATATTTTCAATTTTATCACACAGGATATACCAAGTAAAAATAACTAATAGTAAAACATATAACTGTAAGGATAAAATACAATCAATTATCAATTATCAATTGATTGAAGAACTATCGAATTTAACTTGAAAAGGAAAACATTTTTAATCAACAGATGAATATGAAAAAAAACAAAAAATAAAATAAAAAATATTTATTTATTTATAAAGGAATTTAAATTTATAAATGCTGCACATTTATAGTTTTACTGCTAAAAACAGACATGGGGGAAATTCTTTTTCTTATTGAATTTATCCTAAGTATAAATACAATAAACCTCTTAAGAATACTATCTTTAATATTGTGACAATTAATTATCTGTTCTTCATCAACAGAACTCATTTTTCTCTATTAAAAATCCTCTTACTGAGTTGATTTGGCTCATATACGTTTCGAAAATGGCTTAATCCTTTAATTTGTTACTTTATTTTATTGATTTTCCTTTGTAATTCAGTGGTTATGAAAGAAAAAGATGGAAATTAAGTTTTAAACTTGGTTATAGAAGATATTTTTATAGTTTGAGGCTATTAGCTGATTCAATTTTTATTTTGAAGTCAGTGGTTTCAAGTATAAAATTGAAATTTGGTTTTCCTTTATAGTTATTGTTACTTTCAATATTAAAAATATGAGTGTAGTTGATGATCCTTAAATCATAGTTGAATTGAGTATAGTTGATGACCCTTAAATGATAATTTTGGCCTATAATGAGAAAAACCATCTTGAATGAACATTAACAGTTTTAGAATTTCAGTAATAAGAAAAATAATAATTTTATTTCAGAACTTTTGCAGCACAACAATCTATTTCTTTAAAATCAATCATGATGAGTACGATACCACTCATTCTGGCAAAAAAGAAAACTACTTTTAAAGGAAGGAGATGGTCCGGGGTGGCAGTCATAAATATGGTAAATAGTGGCAAAACTATTTTATTAAAAGCCAACGTTTCGACCCGACTTTGCAGATCTTCAGAGCTAGAACGGACAGGATACAAAAAGATAGAGAATCTAATATTTAAATGTAATTTTCTTACATATGTATAACCAAATATAATCATAATTATTCATATATATTTTTTTCTCCCTCTATACTTCTACGTTAGTTCTACAATGTATGGTCTCTTATTTCTATATTTATATTTTACTTCTATGTACGTTTGACTTCTTCCATTTTTGTTTTTATTTACATTGTACTCTCATGTATAATCTCTTAATTCTATTTTATATGTATATGCATATATTTATAATTTAATATTTCATATATATATATTATTTTTTCCCTTGTACCCATCCATATCTTCAAATTTTAGATACTGTAATTTTCTAGGTTTTTCCCTATTACCCAAACAAGTCAGCAAATTCCCCAAAACCTGCCCTTACCCTTTTTTTCCAGTTATAAGTGAAACTCCTAGCTGAACACACCTATAAGTCTCTATTTTCCTTCTTCTAATTTTATTCTCTTATTTATTTATTTTTTGTTTTCTTTTTTCTTTCCTTTTTCCACATTCCTTTATGTCTATTATTTCATATTATATTCTTTTTCCTTTTCTTTCAATCTCTTCTGTAGATCTGTAGAAGTATATTCACATTTGCATATATTATATATTACACTACAACTATTGTTACCCTCTATTTACTTCAGTTTAGGATCTTGTTACTTAGCTTACTCTTTTTATATTTTAATGTACTTACTATTTATAATTTCAATAAGCATTGTTTCACAATTTGTTTGTTTATAAATTTTTGTCTAAATATTATGTAACTTCCTCAATTCTCTATCTTTTTGTATCTTGTCCATTCTAGCCTGAAGAAGACCTGCAAAAGTCGGGTCGAAACGTTGGCTTTTAATAAAATAGTTTTGCCACTATTTAGCCTATTTATGACCACCACCCCTGACCATCTCCTTCCTTTATAATAGAAAATGGTCAACTATTAAATATTCAACAAATACTACTTTTAGTTTCTCGAGATCTTAATAAAGCTAAGGATCATCAACTATACTCATATTTTAATGATGAAAGTAACAATAACTATAAAAGAAAACCAAACTTCAATTTTATACTAGAAACTACTAACTTCAAGATAAAAATTGTGTTAGCTAGTAGCCTTGAACTATATACACTATCTTCATATAACCAAGTTTCAAACTTTATTTCCACATTTTTCTTTCATTATTACTAAATTAAAAAGAAAAATTAATAAAATAAAGTAAAGAATTAAAGTATACTCACGATTTTAAGTCTCTGAAGAAGAAACCAAACATCACTTTAAATACTAATATGTATAACTATTAAATAAAAACTACCTATTAGAAAACTAAAACTATTAATAAAACAACACAATTAAACTTTTAAACAAAATATCACTAATAAAATAAGAGTCTGTGAAGATGAAACCAAAACTATCACTTTAAACACTAAAACGTATAACTATTCAATAAAAACTACCTATTAATAAACTAAACCTATCACTTAAACAACAAAATTAAGCTTCTAAACTAAAATACTGCTAATAAAATATGAAAATTCAACAGTTTTGAGTTTGATTTGCCTGTAGAGCAAACAGATAGCCAGGGACGATCCAAGATGGCCAACCAATCAAAAAGTGACTCCACATGACCCCACTGCAGGTTGCACTAAGTATGGCCACCTTTGACTCAAAAAATTATTTCGTCTGAATAACCTGTTATTTTACTGTTTTGCTAAATCAATTGAACTAACATGCACTATTCTCATTATACATTTAATCAACTTTCTAATTCTCTTATTTCCTTTACATAACCTTTCATAATAGTTTTCTTTAATGCAGTTACGATCTCTTATTTCTTCTTTAGTTATTTATTAAATTCTTTCATATTTTATATTTAACCATTTTTCATATTAGAAATTAATGTGAAATGGTTAATTGTTTCAAATAAAAAAAATTAAAGGTACTTTAGAGGAAGCTAATATTGAAAATTAGCCATTTAAGCCCTGTTAGATAACATAAATCAGAATAATAACCACATTTTATTTACAACTGCTTCATTTTACACTGAAATGATGAATTTAATCAAAATCATTGGAGCAGTTTTTGAGATAATCGTAAACATTTGTTTAGTCCATTATATGAAGTACGACTTCCGGTTAGCTGATTTTGACCAAATAGTTGCTGTAACATCCTAGCATATAAAAATCTTAAATATGCAATTTCACTTCCGTACGACTTTTTCTTTTTGAGCTAGACTGTTAACACACACACAAACCATTTTGCGGGACTTGGTTATTTGGACTCAGGGCACGGGCGGATCTACGGGGGGGGGGGCTTTCGGGCTGAAGCCCCTCCCCCAAAATGGAAAAATACAACCATGTTTTATGGAAATTTTTTTTTTTAAAATACCTCTTAAAGTATTATTGTTCGTATAATTACATTTAAAAAGACTTAAGGAATCATTTAAACACCATTTCATATAGGTAGTTAGTTTCTTTCTGTTTTTCCAAAGTAATTATCGTTATTTTTATGAAAAAAGAAGGTTTCGGGCTGAAGCTCCCCAAAATTAAATCCTGGATCCGCTAGTGACTCAGGGGACCTCAAAACGTGTATTTTCATTGAAAACTCAGATTAAAAAATTTTCACGATCTCAATACTTACCCTTAGTGTATATTACATATATAGGTAAGTGAAAGTAAAAACTGGATGTGCAAATACTTTTTGCCACCACTAGGTTGCACCAAGTATGGCCGCCTTTGACTCAAAAAATTATTTCGTCAGAATAACTTGGTATTTTACTTTTTTACTAAAGCAATTAAACCAACATGCACTATTCTCATTATCCATTTAATCAACTTTCTAATTCAGATACAAACAAGAGTTCTTTTTAAAGTTAAGATCAAGTTAGAGCAAGAACTCGATAGTTACCTTCCTTTAAGGTTATAGTATGGTTAGTCAAAGAAACTGGATGTTTTTTTCTTTGTAGATGCTAAGTATTCTTGTGCAACAATGTTTAATAATTTAGGTCATATTTTGACTGATGATGTAGTGGTTGATTATAAAAACTCGGACAGAGATGTAAGTTTAATGTTTTATCTCTTATTCCCTTTACATAACCTTTCATATTAGTCTTCTTTAATGCAGTATTTATTTGAGTTACTTAATGCTATATTTTTGTACTATTGTCGCCTAGAACTCTTTTTCATTATCATCCTTGTTTTTCATACACATTTATTATATATTTTTAAATCAAAATTCACAATAAAAATAAAATTTTGAAGAAAACTAACCTACTCATTATGATTAGGTGTGATGCTGTTTTTATCCTGCTTCTTTGTTTAATTAATTTTATTTTTTAAAGTTGAATTAATTTATATTATATTACTTTGTTCTATCATAAGTAACTATGTTTTGTTGAATAATGTAGGCTTAAATTTCCAAATTCATTTGTTATACAATGTTTAAATTGTTATACCCCATTCTGAAGGTGTTGTGCATTTCTTTCGTAATGTTATGTAAATCGAATAACATTTATAACAGCTTATTTATCAAAAAATGATCTTTAATTTGTTGGAGGAAGGTGTAAAGAGAATATCCAGCAGATAAAAAAAAAATAAGTAAAATGAAGAAACCAAAAGGATGCTAAGATCTAATATTGATGATATAATTTCATTGTATACAGTTTTGTTTTGCTTTTTCTTGTAATGTACTAGACCTATTATCTAATGATTATTAATATTGTAGGATTGTTTGCATTTTCTGACTCATATAGACACAACATGCAAAGATTTGTCTTTGTTTATTTCACCAACAGCGAAAAGAATCTATACGTCTATCTTCAATGCTTGGTTTTTGAAGATGAATTTTGATGTGAGTTTATTTTAATTAATAAATTCTTAAGTCAAACTTTAAATTATATCCACGACTTTAATATCTTTTATTTAAATTGCTAATTATGTTTTAGGTAAAGCATATAGATGTGCACGGTTTCAGTACTAATAAAAGTTTTAAAATAACATACAAAGGAAATAAATACATTTATTCATTTATAGAATCTAAATTTACCACAGGATCTGTTGCTCTGTTATTACATGGTAAGAAATATCCTTTTTTGTTTTTTCTTTACTGTTCTTCCTATCTTCTTTATTTATTATTTCCTATTTTGTCAATCTGTTAATAATAAACTGTTAGTAAGGAATATTTATCAGAACTGTAAACATATCTGCCTTCTCATTTTCGTATTCCTAACTAATCATTGTCACTAGTGTTTGATTATTATACTTTTTCAATGTTTGAAATAACTGTTGTTTGCCTTTTATTGTAGATCTACTATATATTTTTTCTTTGGATTAAAAAAAAAAAAATTATTTGGTTACCTTTTCTTCTATCACATTCTATTTGTTTGTTCTTTCACATATTTTTTTATCATTTTATATTGTGTTTTTCTGCCAATTAAGTCTTTCTGATTTTCTTCTAACGCTGTAAATATTTATTCTTTATTAGTTGCTGTTAACATCTTAAATAATTTTGTGTCCTTATTCTGTTTTAAGAAAGTTGAGCCAGCTTCTGGTTTTCTTTTTCTTCATTCTTCTTCCCACTGTTTAAATGACATGGTGTCTTTTTTCCCCAAAAGTTAGTATATTTTCAATTTTTATTTTGACTCTTTGTTTCACGTTTAAAAGGTAAATTCGTCTACCTTATTCATTCCATTGGGTAACTTTTAAGGAGTCCTTGCTTATTTGTATCTGCTACATCCGAAACCCAGATTATCAGAAACATTTTCTTCTTTTATTTATTGTTTAGGTACTTTTGTTTTTGTTTGCTTATTTATGTTCACTTTATTACAAATTAATTTAGCATTATTTGTTTTGTTGTTTTACTATAAATTAAATTCTATTATATACTTTATGTTAACACTAACTTCTAACTTTTATTAAGTGCCTTATGTATTTTATAATAAAATATAGTTTACATTTAAAGTTTTTTTGTATTATTTTAACCAAAGATTCTTTACCAATTCAGCTAATGCCGTCTTTTGTAGCTAATAAAAAATATTTAAAAAAACTCCTCTCAGATGGAGGTAAATAGTTTTGTTCTTGAAACTATTAGAGTGTAGTATCCCATGTTTTATAAGTGTACACTGATGGTTCTGCTAATAATGAAAGAAAGTATGTTTGGAGCTGAAGTTAATGTAGAAACTTTCTTGTCATCACAGCCTGTGGGGAAGTTTTTCAGATGCCGAAGCCAGAGGAGTTTATCTTGTCCTGGAATTGATAAAATGGACTGACATATAGCATTGCTAATCTATTTGATTTGCAAGCTTTTACAAATCAAGTGAATATGATTAAAAAAAAAAAAAGTGAGATGTTGGTTTAAAGTTATTACCATCACATGGTTGGTTATCAGCCAAAGAAAATGCTGATCAATTTGTAAAAGGAGCCAGAAAAAAATCAACTCGATATGCCAATAGCGTTTTTAACAGCAATAAAGTTAATCAAATCAACAATCATGTGAGAATAAAATGAAAGCAATGGGCTTAATTTCTTGTTGGAAAGGGGATAAGTTTTAATAGATTTTTAAAGAAATAAGGATATGACTCATAGCCACTGCTGCAATATGAGGATTGCCAAATTATGTTCCTGTGTCGACAAGGATCTAGACAATTTTGAATCTATTGACCTATTCTGAATAATGAGATATAAAAATGATTGCAAAGACTGGCGTACATTGTGCTGTCCAACAGCTCGAGTTGAACAAAGCAAAATATTAAAAATAAAAGTAACACAAGTACAATGTAATTTATACGTATGAGATGGACACCATGTAATTTTCAGGAAGTGGAGATAAAGTAAATTTTTATTTTATAGATTCAACTTCAACTGTTTCTAATAATGTTTCTGACTGTTCTTCTACAAACTCTACTATTTAAAAATGACATGCCTGTCTTTGAAATGAATTCTATATAATTATACTCTAATTTACTCATATGTGGTGTGATTCTAGTGAATGTAAATATTGAAAAATGTAGTGTTTTTTTTTGTGTGATATAGTGACAATATATTCTGTAGTAGCTTTCTCACATATCTTAATACATATACCAATATAATGTGGCTGTATCTTAACCTGATGGCATACTTGTTGTATTTGTTTAGCACAAGCCATTGTACATATACTTTCATACTATTATTTTATCTATTATATATCAGATTGTCGTTATCGAAATATTTGAAACTGAAGTATGGAGCACCAACCTCAAGTTAGCATCAGAAGTTGGAAAAAAGGACCACAAGACCCACTTTCCAGACTAGTTCCCCCTGCCAATAGCAGGAGCACCATCATCATCCAGAGAATTACAATCCATTACTGGATCTTGGTAACCTCAAGAGCCGCTTTCAGCTCTTTTCTATCTTAGGTGGTAGACCTGAGTGGGCAGGGTGGCCGAATGGACTAACGTGTGTGCACAGCACCGCCGTTGCCTGGCAACCTGATAAATCAATAAAATGATATAAAAAGTCACAAGTTCGCGTCCCAGTGCCGAGGGAGTCTTTTAAAATCCCCACTCACACTCCCTGGCCCAGGAAAACCCCGTATAGCCTTATAGGCGAGGAAGGGGAAGACACCAAAAAAAAAAAGAAAAGGTGGTAGACCTGACTGGCCACCCACCAGTTCATTATTCCAAGTTTCTGACATTACCACTCACTCCACTTATGCGCATGTGATAGATTTTAATAGACCACTGTTACCTCGCCTCTTAGACATATTCCATTTTATCTTAGGAAATTAGTGTTAATAGAATTGTGACTATCCATGAGCAAAACACCTGAACCATAATATACACTAATGCCACAGTGAGTACAATTGTTATTTATTGTATACAGTTGTGTAAAGTGAAGCTGGTGTATAGAGGTCTGTTCTCTTATCTCGTAGCCATAAGTTTTTGGCCCAGGCTGATCAATTGGGCTGGAACCTTCATTGGGATGGGTCGTTACGTGACACTGATACAAAATCAATGTCGAGCAGCGTGGTTTAATTTAATTTAATTGTTTTCTTCCTTCACTTAGCTCCTGATGTGGTATGAGATACTACCACAAACTCATGTCTTCGAAGGGTGCAACAATGAATTCTCGCTCTGTCGGATTTATACCCCATAAATCACCTACAACAACAACCAAAAAAGTCGCCGATCGAAAAGAATGATGCCACTTGTGACTCCACCTACAGTAGCAGAAGACATTCAACCTCAGCCGTGTTAGGAGATGACTGATGAGTCTCCCTTTTTCACCCCCAATCCTTAATGAAGTGCTACAAAATAAAAAAGAGACAATTGAATCTGCGCCCATTTTCAGAGACCTTTTTGATTTTCGTTAAAAATATAAAAAAAGTATCTTTAATATGCACACTATTAAACAAATTTCAACTGCTGTTAGCTACTCTTACTTAAGCCGCACTAATGATACTTAACTATTCCCAGGGACAGCTGATGCATACCGTAAAAAAATTAAATATCTATCAGACACAAAGGCAGATTTTCACACCTACCAATTGAGACAAGAGCGTACCTTGAGGGTAGTAATTTGGAATTTACACCCGTCTACTCCAGCTGAGCTGATCCAAGAAGAACTGATGCCCCTAGGTTTCAAAGTCCAAGTCACCAATGTTATGAAGGATGACAGAGATCTCTCTGGAGTAAATATAAAGATACAATTACCTTTATTTTTCATAGATTTGGAATTCTCAGCAGGGATCGATAAAATATATGTAACTAAAAGATTATATTATACAAATGAGGTTGAAAAACACTATAACACTGTAAGAGAAATCCTCCAGTGCCACAAGACTGGTGAATGCAAGATACCTAAAACTGCTCCCACAGTATGTGCTTCATGCCTGGAAGGACATCCTGCCAGCTACAAGGGCTGCCAGGTCTACAAAAATATCAAAAATAAATTTCATAAACTGCGAAACCAAGAAGAAATTTCTAAACCCAGAAGACCTGCTAAAATAATATGATTCTTTTAGAAGTTTCTTTTTTCAGTTACTAGGGGGTTGAGTCCTTGGCACCTTTCCTCACTGAATATATCATATCCGTTGTTACCCCACTGATATCACTTCTTACAAATCTAGTATCTCACCTCATCCTTCCTTTAAAATATCCTTAAATGAATCCTATCAAATCCTTATCCATTCTCCTTTAGAATGTGAATGTTGTTAAAAATCACACTGACAAACTAACAGCTTTATTACTAGACAAGGAAGCCCTTATTACGGAAACTCGACTGACCAAATAACAAATTTTAAAAATACCAAAGTACTCAACATATCGTACTGACCATCCTGATGGTAGAGCACATGCCGGTACTGCAGTCATTGTACACCAATCCCTCTCTCATTACCTTCTCACAATTTCCTGCAATCAACTGCTATCATAATCAAAACCTCCTTTCCTATTACCCATCCCACCCACACTGCAAAAGTAGAAGAATTCCTCTCATCACCACTTCCACTCTCTTCACCACCAAAACTAGTTCATCCTTCTGAGGTCAAATGTCATTTACAAAAACTATCTTCCCGTAAATCTCCTTGATATAACCTTACCCCACCGATAATTTATCAACTACCACCCAAAGCTATCATGTTTCTCACATATATATTCAACTGCATCCTAAGAATTACCCACTTTCCTCTCTTATGAAAACATTCCATCATCGTTCTTTTTCTGAAACCATGCAAACCTTCCAATAATACATGATCTTATAGACCAATCAACCTTCTCCCAATCCTTTCAAAAATTTTTGAAAAAATCTTACCAATACGAATCCTACCCATAATAGAATCCCAAAACCTTCCTATCCATCAATTCTGGTTTCGTTTTCAACATTTCACTGTCCAACAAGGATTACTGGTTGTTGACCACATACCTTCAGCTCTAGAAAGCAAAGATTATTGCTCGGGAGCATTCCTGGACATTGCGTTGTCATTCAATCAAGGCGAGAGTTCTGGCGTCATGGATACTGTCCTCTAGATTCTGTTTACCACTGATATTGCTACTCTCCCAAAACCATCCTGATAACATTCCTTGATGACTCAGTCATCCTATCTTCCAATTCAGATCCTCAAACAGCATCCTTAAACCCACAGTCATCTCTCTCTTATTGAGCACCGGTGAAACACTCCATACCACTTCCTCTTTCTGACACAGTCCGTTATCTTGGCTTGCTTCTAGTTAAAAGACTAACATGGAACCCACATACCAGACTTAAAAGACAACAACTTAACAGACGATATAGACAGCTTTATAAACTATTGAATAGAAAATCTCAACTTTCAGTCAACAACAAACTACTAATCTACAAGACAATCCTGAAACCTATCTGGACCTACGGACTAGAACTGTTGGGGACAGTAAAGCATTCTAACATGAAACGCATTCCGGTGCAGCCCTGCTGATAGTGATTGGAACAGTATGCGATTGGATTTCATGGAATGATGTTCGATTAGCTGTTCTTTTCTGTCCTGAGGATGCCTGAACTGGCGAAACATTGACGTGTTTTTTCTTTGCCTGTATTTTAGAGACATAAAGCTGTGTGGTTTGGAATTTTTCCAATAATAACGTAACATTTATGTTTTGTCTTTTGGTTATTTTGATACTAATTTATAAAAATATGTATATTAATTTTCTTATTTTCTTTTCTTTATTTCTTTTTATCTATTTTAGTTATTATTTGTATATACATATTGAGTCAATGCTTAGTTTAGCCCTAATATTAATGCCCTTTAATGTGGCAGAATGAATTAATATTCAATTAATAAACTTAAAAACAAAAATGCTCACTCCATCTATCCATTTTAGTCCTTTCACTTTCCTTTTTCTACCGATTTCATGCTGAGCAACTTCTATGAGCTTATCCTTCCCATCTGAAACATGTGGTTTGCCCGTTTGAGTCTTTCTATCCAGATATTATTTAACATCTCTGGCCCCTCCTATTAGTTGGTCAGTTCTTGGCTTATTCTCTATTCATTATCATCCTTTAGTTTTTCATATATCTTACATAGAACATTCTTTTTTTTTTTTTTTATAAAATTGGTAGTTTTCTCTTGCTCCCCTTCATCATCTTCCATGTTCTAGAATCATTTGTATGAGAACTCTGTGCTGGAGCAAATTTGTAGCAGACAACTTTTTGTATGCTTCAGGAGACCATGGTGGCATTATTTGCAACAACAGGTCTTTATGTTACCCCATGATTCATGTTATTATCCTTAATCAGTAGGTACTCTGGTTCATTTGAAGCTGTATCTAATAATTTGGATTTGTATAGACCAATTTGGAAACAACAATTCTCAGTTAACCTATACTTTGTCTAGTCTTCATTGCCCTGAAATACTATCTTCACTGCTTTACTATCTACTACTAAATACTAGCTTCACTGCTCCTTCTTCTTTCAAGGTGAAAGCATCTGTTTTAGCCATTAAGGATCATCTTATTTTTTAAGTGGTTCTTGTTTGTATTCTAGCATCTCTCAATACTTTCTAGAACTAGATTGGATATAGTGCACACTAGAATGTCCTCTTAACCTCAGGTCTTGTTTGACAGATCTTGCTCTAGATCTACATGGCAACTGGTGTCCATCATTGTCATGCCGATCAATCTTATTAACTTTGTTTGTATTAATAATTTCTCTATCTCTATGTTTAATTTTTTTTGGCAAAGACTATCATCGACTGTCTGAAGGTCTACAAAGAGAATTGATACATTGCAGTTAAAGTCGCACATCTTCTGCAGTACCTCCTTAAAGAGAACAACTGGTCTGTGGTAGACTTCCTACTACTGAAATCACATTGATATTGCATCTTCCTCTCTGCAAAATGATGGAACTTGTTATTGAGAGTATTAGAGAAGATGTTATATGCTGTTGATAGCTGTGGGATTGCCCTTTAGTTATTACAAACCAAGGCGTCACTTTTTTTTTAATATGTAGCATGTTTTAACTTTCTCTGGTCATGTCTTTATTAATATATTATGCAATCTCTTTATGATTTCTGATGTCCTATATCTGAGCTTAGCTTGCCTGAGAACATGATTTACGTTTTCCTCTTTTTCATCAACTGTATGCTGTTCACATTTTATGCCATCATCATCTTTTTTAAAATAATTTTGATAGTGTTCTGTCCATTATTCTTGTACGACAGCTCTATCTGATATCAGAACACCATTTTTTCTCCATCATAGACTTCCGAATCGTAGGAATATATGCTTTCATCATATCATTTGTATTTTTGTAATAATTTCTGATAAGCTTCTGCTGTCTTTCCTTGTTGTTATCTTCTTTCCCTCTCAAATTTGCCATAAAAGACGTTGAGGTTTTGAAATAGTTTTACTTAATGTCGAAGGCACTTATCTGCTTTCATAGAATGCTTCTTTCTCTCCACTATCTTCTGTAGTTTTTGTCTGTTCTGTAGCCTCAGGACAGGCATGTGAATATCAGGAATAGCTATTATGAGGTAGAAGCATCTGTTGAGAGAGAGGCTATCATCAGGGATCAGTTCTGTGGAAGCTGGTTTTTTATGGATTTCTATTTTTAAGTGCTAAAAAATGAGCCTCTGCCTCTGTCTATGTTGACCATTTAACTGCTGGATAACCTTGAAGGGCACACTCCATCAGCGTGGATATAGAGTTCAAAGAATACTTCTGACTGAGGTGTTAACCTACCTTGGTATGAGGTTAAGTTAAAGGCCTAAATATAAAACCCCATTTGGATTACGTGGCCACTAAGGTGAACCAAACCTTGGAACAGATTCAATCATGTCGGGGTGCATTCTTGGACCTCAGGTATGGATTTTGAGGTATGTATTTCCCTCTTGGTACCGGAGCACTACACAGCACCAGAGTTGGTATCAACTCAAAGGATGGTTCTGCTGCATGTGGCTAGAGCATATAGCACAACCTCACATGAAACTGTACGTTTCTTGCCTCTTAAACTCATCCAAGATGACCATGAAAAAAGCCTTGTCAGGCGTTCAGGAAAATGTATGAGTGAACATTGTGGAGTATTCTAAGAAATAGAAGATCTGGGAGGATACAATTAAGGATTGGAACCATCTGTAGGTGAAGACCCCAACAAATAAACTAGTAAATAATTCCCCACCTTACAATCTTGGCTAGATACACATTGGGTTCTTCTGAACTATTGAGTTTCACAATTCTTCCCTGAGCATGGGAATTTTCAAGGCAAGATACTTAGCCTTGGTCAAGAAAAAGATATCCAATACCCCACTGTTCTGGAGACTGTCGAGCATGTGGTCACAACAAGTTGATAATAACCATGGGGATTCATGTCCTGACTTAAGTGGAGTTTTTCTGGTTGGTAAGTGCAGAAAACTTTCCGCATTTCAAGAAATTTATTTATGACTGGAACGTGGCAGTGGATCCAGCCCATATCAACATTAGAGTCCAGAGAAAAATACCAGTGGTAGGAAGACTGCCAGAAGGTTGAAGTCGTCCTTCACCATAGACCACCTAAGATTCAAGAAGCAAGCGCTGAAAAATTGAATACTCTTTTACTTGCAAAAATATATTGTTATGCAGTCATGTATGTTATAAAAGCGGTTTGTCTGTCATACTAATTGAACTAATAGTAATTAAATGCAAAAGAAAACTATTTACATATAGATCAGTTTTAGTTATTATTATTATTTTTTTTTTTTTTTGTAGGATCTTTTGGTACTTATCTATATACTGGAAATTTTTGTTACTATCCATCATTTTTAAGATCCCCAGTCTTACTGCCAGTAATCGAGGAGAAGGTTAGTTACATAATAATATAATCTAATGATTTTTTAAAATTTTTTTTTGCAGTTTGGTTTCAGAATTATAAGTTATTAGTGTTATGCAATACTAAGTGAAATTAAATTAACTCAAAAAATTTATAGCAATGTTGAAAAATGCTGCTCTACACTGCAAATTATATATAAGTGACATGTTATCAATTTCTTCATTGAAAATGCTTTACGATTAAAACCTGTTCCAAATTTTGAATTTTATTAAGTGAAATAGGCAGCACAGTAGCTCAGTGAGTAAGGCACTGAAATCCTATTTTCATGCCACGGGTTCGAGTTGAGCTGTAGCAGTTAACGGTCAGGAGAATCTTAGGCATCCACAGCCACCATTAAGTAGAAATCCTTAATTAATTATTTTATTTATTAAGGAAGAAAACTGGGTAGTCCAATTATGATCTTGGTCAAATTATATTGTTCAATACCTTTGAATATTAATTTTGAAACACCATGCCACTATTTGAAATAGCATATAATGTGTTTTCATCATACTAAGAATTTTTTTTTATGGTATCAAGATTTTACATAAAATCCTATTTTACCAAAAATTTATAACTAAGAATGTTGTACTAATCATTGTTTAAAAAAAATGATAAACATAAACAAATATTAGGATTTGCCTTACTGCACTAAACTAGATTTTTTTTTTATAAATTCACTAATAGCTTCAATGAGTTAATTTTTACTGAAAAGTATTTGATATTGAATTTTATGATCACAGTATATTTAATCTTTAGTTTGGTAGTGCCATTCTATGAATATTGATTAAGTAAAGTTAAGTATTTTGTTTATATTCTTTTCAACATTTCAAATTGTGTTTTATAGTCAGTGTTATAAAAAAAACAAAAAACTGCATAACAGTAGCCAAAAAGTAGTAATGGTTAGTTCGTGAACAAACTAGTTCACGAAAAGTAACTGTGAAGACCAGTCTTACTTTTGGTGAACTAAAGTTCTTCATGAACTACCACAAAAATAAAATTAGAGGAATTGTAGGTGTTTTCTTTAAGAAGTCAAGAAGTACAGAGAAGAATTACATCAGCTAATAGGTGCTAGATGACTTCTTAAAATTTTAATAGCACCTGTTAGCTGATGTAATTCTTCTCTGTACTTCTTGACTATTCACATTATGTGCACAAACTAAGGATCCTAGATACACAAAATTATTTACATTTTCAAATGTGTATCCTCCAAATATAACTGTGGGTGGTGGTAGCCTTGGTGAGTTGGCAATCATATATTTGGTCTTTGCTTGGTTAATACTTTAGACCCATTACCTGTCGTGCTGCCTCTATAACTAAGAAGGTCCTTTCTAAGTCCCTCTGTGATCTAACTATAATATCTATGTCATCTGCGTAGACCAGAATCTGTACTGATTTGGTGAGAATCGTCCCACTTCTTTGCACTTCGGAGTCCCTTATCACCTTTTCTAGTGCAAGATTAAAGAGCAGGCATGACAAGCCATCTACTTGTCTTAAGCCCCTTGTAGGTCCCTCTTCATGACAGATCTCCCTGTGTTCCGACTTAACACCTTGATCCTATCATCAGCAGCTCTGTAAGATGGATCAATTCAAGTGAGGTATTCATTGTTTTCATAGCCTGATACAGCCTATCTCTGATGATACTGTCATATACACTGCTAAAATCTATGAAAAGGTGATGTGTGGTAATATTATACTCTTTTGTTCTTTTAAACAGGGTCCTTAAGGCAAAGATCTGATTGGTGGTAGATCTCCCTCTCATGAAACCACATTGATAGATTCCCACCTCTCTTTCTGCATGCGGAAGTAGCCTCTGATAGACGACGCTAGATACACCTTATACGTGCAATTGAGGAGAGTTATACCATACCACAGTAATTATTGCTGTTGGTTTGATCTCCCTTTTTATGGAGAGGGATGGTGACGCCGGTGTACCATTCCTCAAGCATGGTCTTAATTATCCAAATACTATGATAACTTTGATTGGTTCATTCCCTCCAGCCTTCAGAAGTTCTGCAGCTATGTCCTAGCTGTATCCTGATCCACCTATAGCTAGATCCTGGGGCTCTGTTGTTAGTTTTTGGATGGAGTCATATATTTCCTCATCATTTGGTGGATTGATTAACTCGACGAAGCCATTGCACAGAACAGAAATTATTCTATTCATCGTGGAGTCCTCGGGGGTTCCCAAAATACTTCCAAAGTGGGTGACCCATCTGCCAAAAATGGTGTCTTTATTTGTAATAAGTGATCCATCCTCTCCTTGGCAAGCATTGGATCTTGGCTTGAATTCTTTACGCTGGGCATTTACATTTTTCTAGAAAGCTCTTACGTCCGCTCGACCCCTTTGTTCTTCGATTTCCTTTATTTTTTCTTGTTCTTGTTTCCTCTTTTTTCTTCTATGAATGCATTTCTCTTCTTGCCTTCTGTCTTTATATTCCTTGACTGCTTGGTGAGTTCAGTGCCTCTCTATCATTCTCCTGTAATTTCGTTTTTCTTGTCTATCGCTGCCTGGCACTCCGAGTCAAACCATTCAGATCTTTGGTGGGCTTCCTTATACCCAAAACCTCTTCTGCAGTTTATTTGATGGAAAATTTTGCAGTGGTTCCATCTTCCATTCACCGTATCTTCATAAGGGCCTCCTTCTAAAGCTTTATCAAGTCTCTGGGTGAATTCCTCCTTACACTCTGGTTCACTTAGTTTCCGAGTATTAATCCTTTCCATCCGGGCCCCTTTCGTTTGATGAGCATTACTTATTCTGGCTCGAATTCGTAATACGACCAGTTAGTGATCACTGTCAATATTCGCTCCTCTGAATGGTCTCGCTGCCATGAGACTAGACCTTTGTCTCTGACTAACCAGTATATGGTCAATTTGGGTACTAACTAGTATTGTTATCTGGGTTAACCCACATGACTTTATAAATATTTTTACAGTCAAACATAGTGCTACCAACAACCATATCTTAGGATGCGGCGAAATCCAATAAAATGGTTACATGTATTTAAAGATGAATATTTTAACTTTTGAATAAATTCTGATAGTGGTTTAATTCTGACTAAGGTTGCTTGTCATTGTTCAGGACTAAAATATTTATTGAATAAATTTGAAGAAGATATACATTAATGATTATTTGGAAACTTGGAAGGATTTTCATGGTTAACATTCAGGAAAGAACATTGTTAAAAAAGATTTCTACCACAATTACTTGGGTGGAACCTAAGGATACTGAATTATCTTCTATAAACCAGGTATTTTTTGGTTTCCAGAATGATATTGAAGAATCTGAAACAGTATTGTATAGCCACCAAGTCCAAGGTTGAACAAAAAGTTGTCATTAACATTTTAAGAGAAAGGAATTTCTTAAAAGCAGCACTTGGTTATTCATATTATTGACATCCAATAACAGGATGAATATTTGAAAAAAATCCTATTAAAAAGAATCCTACCCATAATGGAATCACAAAACCTTCCTACCCATCAATTCGGATTTTGTTTCCAGCATTCTACTGTTCAACAAGGCCCCCGAATTGTTGACCACATATTCTCAGCCTTAGAAAGCAAAGAGCATTGTTCGGAAGCATGCCTGAACATCGAGCAAGCTTTTGACCGCGTATGGCACACCGGACTACTCTTCAAGCTCAAAACCTACCTACCCCAGTCCTTATATCTAGTACTCCGATCCTACCTCTCTGACCTTTCCTTTCAAGATTGGTATGGTACAGAATTCTGCAACTGCTATTCAATTGAGGTGGGAGTTCCTCAAGGCAACGTCTTGGGTCCCATCCTCTAAATTCTGTTTACCACTGATATTCCTACTCATCCCGAAACCCTCCTGGCGACATTCGCTGATGACACAGCTATCCTATCTTCAAATCCAGATCTTAAAACAGCATCCTTAAACCTACAAAGTCACCTTTCTCTTATTGAACATTGGTGTAATAAGTGGTGCATCCAAGTAAATGAATCCAAGTCCAAACACATCATTTTTACCCTTCGGCGCAAGTCCTGTTCACCAGTCTATTTCAAATCCATACCACTTCCTCTCTCAGACACAGTCTGGTATCTTGGCTTTCTTCTAGATAAAAGACTAATGTGGAACCCACATACCAGACTTAAAAGACAACAACTTAACAAATGATATGGATAGCTATATAGACTAATAAATAGAAAATCTCAACTTTCAGTGGACCACAAACTACTAATCAACAAGACAATCTTGAAACCTATCTGGACCTATGGACTAGAGCTGTGGAGGACAACAAAACCTTCTAACATTAAACGGATTCAATCCTTTCAGTCTAAAGTCCTCTGAACAATAGTCGATGCTCCCTTCTATATAACCATTAAAACCCTCCATAATGACCTTCATATCCCATTTGTTATTGACCTAATCCCAGATAAATTTTTCAAAGTTTACCAGAACCTCACTCATCATCCAAATCCTGTAGCACAATCCTTATCCAGCTACAGCCATTCCTACAATCCTCCCCGGAGATTAAAACGACATTGGCCCTGCGACCTTTTGTAAATATGTATATATTGGAGTACTGGCACTGGCCAGATTCTCCACTTAAGTCCTGGGCGTCTGTTGCTCTAGTGCCCTCCATTAGTCTCCACTGGCTTGTGCAATACCAGTGATGCGGCTGGGAGAGAAGTACTGGGATCTCCTGGAGTCCTTCCTTGGCTTCCACATTTGGGAGACAAAGCATGACTCAGAATCCCCTGGGCGAATGCAAATCTTGTATATAGGTGTGAATGTGTTTTATACATTTAATTTCATTTAGTTTTGCTCTATTTTTTTTTATTTATGTATGTTAATTTTTAGTCATCATTTGTATGTATATATTGTGTGAATGTTTAATGTAGCCCTAATATTAATGCCCTCCAATGTGGCAGAATGTATTAATTATCAAATAATAAAAAAAAAAAATAACAGGATACATTCTCAGAAAATCTAGAATTGAATATGTCTGTAGGATTTTGTAGATTGACAATCTAGATATAGCATTTCCAAGTCAATTTCAACCTTTTCCAAATCAAATTCAACCTTTTCCAAGTCAAATTAAACCTTTTCCATTTCAAATTCAACCTTTTCCAAGTCAAATTCAATCTTTTCCATTTCAAATTCAACTTTCGAATTTTTGTCAATTTTCGATTTTTTTCGAAATGAAGGCCACTTACTATATTATTGAAGGCATAGCTTTTGAAAAATACAAAAAAAAAAATTTGATAATGCCGTTGCATATCCATTTATTTTAACATTTTAGATTTTTCAGTGTTTCTATGTCATATTCAATTATTTCCAAGTCAAATTCAACCTTTTCCAAGTCAAATTCAACTTTTTCCAGATCAAATTAAACTTCTTCCAAGTCAAATTCAACCATTTCCATTTCAAATTAAACCTTTTCCAAATCAAATTCAACCGTTTTCATTTCAAATTAATGTTTTAATTTTTTGTAAATTTTATTTTTTTTTTAAATAATGGCCGTCCTCTCCTCCCCCCACCGATATGAAAGTTTATTATCATGCTCTCCTAAGAAGAATTTTCACTTACGAATATCGATTTATGGTACCTATTCGGATTTATTAGGGACTAGTATTATGCTGTCCTGTACCTAGTTTTTAAAATAACCTCCATTTTAAGATTACGTGATTGCGTTACGAATTATTTAAGTTTTTTTGATTTATTCCATATAAGGGTGTATTTTTATGTTTCCCGATCCGTAAATTTTGGAAATGATATCCATTTTATGTTCACGCCATTGTGTTTTGACTTATTTAAGTTTTTCGAATTTATCAAGTATAAAGGTCTACTATTATGTTTCTGGAGCAGTAGATTTCCCCCATTTTGTAAATGACCCCATTTTAAGTTTATGCCACTGTGTTTTGGATTATAAAAGTTTTTTTTTACTTTATTGGTATAAGGATCTACTTATATGCTATCGGAGACGTATTGAAATTTTTCTAATTTTTAATATTTAAATTTATCTAATATTTAATCTCCATTTTATGATTAAGCCACTGCATCTCGATTAATTAAGCTTCATTTTGGATTTTTTCAATACAAAGTTTCATCAATATATTTTCGAGTATGAATAAATAAATAAATAAATATTATGAAGCTAAAGTTAAATTAACCACAGAATACAAACTAAAAAGAGGAAAAGCAACTGGTAATAAATTTAACTTACTGTATTCAGATTTTTCAGCTAATTGTTCGAAATCTTATAATTTTGTTACAGGAGACCACAACATTAAAAAAGATAACTAAAATTAAATTAAAAATAAGAAATACATATTTTAATTTATTTATTGAAAAATAAATTTATCCTTTGTATTTTGTTTTTTATTCGAAGGAAAAATCAAAAACACTTAAAAAAATCAAAACACAGTGGCCTAATCTTAAAATGTAAGTCGTTTTAAAAACTAAGGTTCCGGCATCTAAAAGTAGACCTTTTAATTGGATAAATTTGAAAAACTTGAATAAGTCGAAACGAAGTTGCGTAATCTTAAAATGGAGGTCATTTTCAAAATCTACGACTCCGGAAACGAGTCGCAGATTTAATTAACCTTCAGCCCGGGTTTAAAATTTTGCTTTGTGTTGAAAACATTATAAATTGAATAGCAACTTGATGAACCAGCTTTGTAGTTAGCAAAATGAGCTATTCGGACTGCTCTTCCATGTATTGAAATACAATTCTCTTTTATTTTCAATATTTTTTTGCAAACTCCCAAATAATGGCCTCAGGAAACTCATTATGATAGTTTCAGAACCTATGCTCTATAAATTATGATACAAAATATAATTTTTGTTAATGAAATAAGTAATTTAATATAATCAACATTGAACTGTTAGGTTTATTCAGAACAAATCTGATGTTTTTTTTTTTGTTTTTTTTTCTATATCATCTGAGTGATTATCATTAAATATATTACACTTATCTATAAATTGAAAATATTGCAGTCTATACGAATACATCTGTGCAATTTGAGTTTTCAAAACGTTAATAATTTTTAGATTTGTGTTCATTGAATTTTCTTTTAGAAGTTTTTTTTTTTAATTGAAAAGATTTTATATTTATTTTTAGGCCCTTACTAGACTTTATCTGGACAATACCTACTATGAACAACCTTCTAATTTTTTAGGATTTCATGAACTTGCTACCAAAGTTGCTGCATTGATCAAGTAAACATTTTTTATTATAATTTATTCAACATTGTATTAACTACATTTTTGTTAGTGTCATATTAGTTTTTTATAATTCATTTCCTTATATTATATATGTACCCACAAGTTTAAATGTTTAGTGATAATTGGGTGAAAGTAAAAAGAAATAAAATTCTTCCTTCAAACAATGTTTTATTACAAATCTGCAAATCCAAATGAGAGGTCAAAATACAATTTCCAAGGTTGTAGCTGTAAGATACACTGTAAAATAATTAATGAGAATAGAGGGAAAATGCCTCGTTACAATTCACTACACACCCGTTACAAATGAATGTTCACTTGGGTAAACAGTAAAAGATATTTCTTATATAATAATCTTAGTTAATATTAATCTTATGTATTAATATCTTATGTAATTTTCTGTTAGATATTTATTTAAAAATAATGAATAATGATAACAGCATGAGAAAGGTAAACTTAATTTAACAAGATACACCAAATTAAGTAAGAAATCAGTAACCATAATTTCTAATTTAATTTGCAGTTTGAAAAGTTTTCAGATAGTCCAAAACTAAGGGCTCCTCATGTGCATCTCCTCTCTCATACATTAGTTATATGTAGTATAGGGACTTGTTTTATTTTTAAAACATTTTTTATCTTTTTTAAATTTTGTGAATATATCTACATAATGAAAACAGGTAATTAGTGTACAAGCTTGACCTTTCATTTTATTCTATGCATCTGATATTATATTGATTACTATCTGTAAGTAAAGAGCCAGAGGAGAAATAGAATAACAAAATGTTGATAACGTTTTGTTTTTTCTTTTAGCTTTGCAGACCTTTGGCCTGAGCTTTTTCTCTCCTCTGGCTATTTTGGGCACTATTTTCCAGTTTACTAAATGCAGTCCCTACATCTTTTCTATCGATCCCTCCAATGTGGGTTCTTACCAACTATTGTGACATTTGTTGTTATCTAGGGGTTTTCTTAGGGATTTATTCAACCTACATATCCTGCTTATCTTAACCTCTTTGCCATCGTATTATTAAATATTGTCTTTGTTGATTTTATGATTGGTTTATGGGTTTTTAATAAATGCAGAACTAAGAAACAACAGCTTTATTAAACTAAGGAACATACAACTGGATAGAAAAAAGGTTATATAACCACACATGTGATATATATATGTGTGTGTGTGTTAATAATTATTAATAAAATTACTTTTAACAGTCTTATCAGTTTCTAAAAGCAGTTCTTCATTGATCATTCCCCTCCATGCCTTTGTTTTGTGATCCCAGATAGCTTATACGCAGACATAGTTGTGCGGAAGACTTAAATCTTTCAGTTCTTTGTTTTAGGGTGCTGTTTAGTGTTAAAGTCTCACAGCCATATATTAGAACTGACTCCATCATAGTGTTGTACTCCCTTAATTAAGAGTGATCCCATTACCTCTGAAAGAAAGAGCAAAGCTCTATTTAGGCTTGTTATATTATTTTTTTTTCTGATAGTTAGTCATTTACATCATTATTTTGACGGGAATTAGCAATGAGAAGAACAGCATTTGGCATAGCCCAGATGAAATGTCACATCACTTACCACAATTGTTTCAGGCGCACCATATTTTTGAAACAGTGTAAAATTATTTATTCTTACAATTAAGTAAGACAACTACTTATACTATCAACTATGTTCTTTTTTTTTTTTTCAAAGTTTGAAAACTTTAGCCAATATATGGTGTATTTGGCAAAACTTACACATCGCTGTAAGTTGTGTAGCTAAAAAGCAATAAAATCTCTCTATCTATGTATCTATAATAATCTCAAAAGTTCAATAGAGGAGTGACTTCATCATGATATAAAAATAGTATTGGGTGACTTGAATGCCCAGATTGCAAGTACTATGACCCATTGTAAATAGACACAGCTATACATATATCAATATGTTTAATGATAATTTCAGAACAGTGAAATTTATGGATTTTTCATCATCCCTTATTGTTATAAGTATTCAGACAGAAAACATCTAAAAAGCTACATAGGCTTCCCTAAACAACTCCAGCAATCAGATTGAACACGTTCTTATCATCATAAGACAGCATTCTATGCTTAGAGCACTTAGAAAATATAGAGGTGCAAACATGGACAGCAGTATCTGGTAATATCATGCAGACGAAAGTTGAAAACATACAGAAGATCAGATGGACCCAATTTAATTCCTGAAGGAGAATTAAAGAATATAAGGAACTGTTTGTTCAAATTCTGGATAAAATATTGTAACAGGGTTTTATATAAAATGCTGTTGATGAAGTATATACTTTATAGAAAGAAGTAGAAGTACTAGGATTAGAGACCATCTTTAAGATCAAAATGGCCCTATCAAGAATGCCAGGCAACTAGAGAACTGCTAGGCAACTGCAAAATAATTAATAAACATATTAAGGTGAGAAGAGAAACACCTGCATAGGAAGAAAAATTCAAAGAGGTAGAGGGCAGGTTAGATAGACAGATAGAATACCAATAGATAGAATACCAGAATTTTCTACAAGACTGGTTATGCCCAGTGAAGGGGGTTTAGACCAGCGTCAACTACTTCTAGATGGTAGGATGGAAAACTCATTGTGAATAAGAAAGGAATTTTCGAAAAGTGGCCATTTCACTTTCTAGGATGAAAATGAACCTCACACTGGAAGAAAACACAAACTCAAATGTTCATTACAAAAAGTGTGCATTTCTTGATCGATCAGATGACAAGGAATTTGATGATAGCATTCAGAAGGTAAGGGATAATTGAGCTTTAGGATATGATAGTGTACTATCGGAACTTCTGAACGCTGTGGGTAATAAGGTAAGCAACCAAGATAAACATGATTTGCTCTATAGTATTAGTTAAGTAAAACTCCTTCTGTTGATGGTTGTATTGGTCTTATCATCCCTTTCATAAGATGATATCAAATGAATGGTGATAACTATCATGGCAACATTCCTGATTTGTACCTGTAAGGTCCTGTAATATATGGTGGTATGGATAGACGTCCCTTATACTCCACTATTCCTTTATCGTCCCCAAAAGGCTGAGGTCATGAGGTCAGGGTCCACCCCTTAAACTTCCCCTCTACTATTGTGGGACTTTTAGGAGAGATTGAGGGCCCTTATCATTCTCAAAATTTCCCTTTATGCTCACTACAACTTATATTTAACTGATAGAAAATGTAATTATCGTTCTTTTTACATTATTCAAATACAAAAAAAAACAAAAAAAAAAAAAAACAAGTATCTGAATGGTGATGGTTGCTAAAAAGTGCAAAGTTGTGTATATCAGAATTGTGATGCTTACAGGCAGACCCCTAATCGATTTTTCAACATACATTTTGATGTTGATCTACCTTTTATACATAAGGTAAATTGAGCCATTTATTTAATTATGGATTACTATAGGCGTACCCTCTGTCCGCCTAATGGCAGACTAACTTCCATTTGGCAAATTATACAACATTTAATTACATACTAGTAGGCCCGTGCGAAAAATTAGCACAGCATATTGTTATCAAATGCCAAATTAATAAGAAAATAAAATAATGCAACGTATCAAAAGATAAAGAAATCAATTGTTACTTTATCCATAAATATAATCCACAAAGGAAACAAAATTAATTTAAATCTTCATTTTTGTTTGGAACCACCAACATATTTACAAATTTCAATAAGCTGCATCTTTGCAAAAAATTGTCCAATTTCAATGATTTTTTTTTTTTCCTTTTGTAGACAATTAAGTAATGTTTTATATAATCACAGGAATAATCGAGAGAAAAGTGTAATTTTTTAGTTATTCGCAAATAAAGTTTGTTTTCTTTCATAATTTGTTTGCCTGAATTTTCGGGATGATTAGACGCCTGAAGGAGAAGGAAGCCTTCAAAATTGGTGGCTCAATCTTGAGATTTAGTGAAGAATTAACGATGGTATGGCTTGCCGATCAAAAATACCATCGATAAATAATATAAACTCCTCCTCTCTCGATCACAGAGACCTCAAGTCGACGAAATGAGACATGTATCCAATGACAGTACTACAATTAACGTCAGGTTGTGTGGATGCGAACCTCATGCCTTGCGTTATCTCGAAAATAGTACATTTTTGGGCCTAAAAACCCAGAATCTGATAGTTCCAGAGGAACTATCCGGGTCTTGCTGTACGCATCAAAATCTTCAAGGTCCAATTTGTCCCGCATCGATCTACAAACCTACCATCGTTCCAGTATTGAAGCCTAGCAAAATGTTTGTATCGACTTAATTTATTTTAGAAAGTAAAACAAAAGCAGGGAATACGATTCGCTAACCCCCCGTGAAATTCTGAATCCAACAGTACCCCATTCATGGTATTTGAGCATGACAGGAGCTTATATTTGGTACAAAACCGATTTCAAGCCTTACTGTAATAATAAATGTACGGATGTATTGAGCTGCTACAACCTCTTACTCTCCGAATATAAAATAAAGATTTTAGATCCAAAATTTGTACTGGAAATGATAGGTTGAATAATCAATGGCCACTGGAGAGCAGCACTAACAGACCCCACTAAGTATCGAGTACCCCACAGCAATAACTATTGAGTCTGAAGGACTGGACTGAAAAGTCGAGCTTCTGTAAACTACTCTCCTAATACTAAAAAAGATTTTCATTCTGCTGTCTTCTTTACTGTCCGTCTCATTTTGTGTATTTAAAATAAAATATGACAGTCACTAAATACTTTTTTATATAATAGAAAGATGTTAAGGAAAATCCATTTAATTTTACATTTTTTATTATTGCATATATTTATATATGAATTGTTCGTATTCATTTACAAATCTGAAAATTAATTTTTAAATAATTGTACTATAGGTCCCAACCGATGAAGAATTTTTATATATATGCTGACAAAGTAACAATGGATCCTCTTTTAGCAGATATTGCTTCTAAACTAGAGGTAATTCTTCCGATGATTATGTTTTATGAAAAGTTGGGTTTTAATTTTGTCTTTCTGTGGTTTTATCTCAAAAAGGACTCTTATAAAGTTTAATGTTATGAAATTCTAATGATTGTTATATATATATATATATATATATATATATTTTATAAAATTATTTCATATTTACCAGATTTAATTCTTAATATTTGCAAGAGGTAAACGTATATATATATATATATATACATATATGAACAATTCATTATGAAGTAAATTTTTTGAAGAAACATGACCATTCATATTGACTTATAGATTCTTTTATAGTGAAATATTGATATGCCATAATTTATATTTGGACCCATGAACATCTATTTCCCTTAAGCCAGAAGAAAGAAGTTAAGAAAGGTATATCATTAGTTAAATATTTGAAACAATAAAAATCATGTTAGGCTTTAAATGGAAAAATCCAATCATATAGTCAAAAGTCTTGTGTTGAAAAAAAAAGTCAAAAGCCTTGTGTCTTTAAAATTCTGTTGAAGAACAAAATATATTGATTTGCATTTTGAAATATTGTCTTTTTCTGTAGAATTTATAAAATTAGCAAATTATGATTCAGCTGAAAATACAACGATTTTCGTATATTTTTTGTGGCATATTTATGTAGTTAGGATATTGATTAATAGTTCTTTTTTTACTGGTCAGCTGTTTGATATTATCCTTTCTCAGCTTTGTTTCTTCCTCTTTCTTTCAGTTTGTGTTTGGATGTCGTGGAGTCATGTCATCATAGTTTTTTTCTGGTTCTCATGATGCCCAAATTGGTGAAACACTAATGGGTTATTTTGTTCTTTGCCTGTGTTATGTGTGAAACCTATTGTATCCGATTGTCACTTTGAGGCGAATAGTGAAAACAGATCAGATAAGATCTAAAAGATATAATTCAATCAGCACCAGCTACCAGATGCACTCTACCCATTCCAACACAGTTATTCCCAGAGGCATCAGCTGGAGCAGACAGGGGGGGGGGGCCTCTCAGTTACGTAAGATGTCTATGCCAGCATTAAAGGATGCGTTTATTTTATGTAATTCATATAACCTACAACATCATCAAAATTCAGTCCACTGCCAAAATAAGTCGATTGTTGAACTCATTAGAGTTCTTTGCCTTTACTTTAATTAAATTTGGAATGTTGTCTAAATATTGTGGTCCACTGGACACGATTAAATAGTTTTTTTTTGTCATATTAGCAATGTTTTGAAGGAGGAAAATTGCCTGATAGATTATGAGATTTTTTGTAAAAATTTTCTGGCTAATATTCGTATGTTGCCTATTAATTCTTTTTTTTTTTTTAAATACAAATTATGTCGTTTCCTTCTTGGTTGCGTTTTAGAGGGTGCCAGAGTATTAAAAATTGAATTTTTTTTGTTGCAAAAATCATATATTTCCGGACTAATATTCGTATTTTGCCTATTGATTCGTTTTTTTAAATATATTGTATGTCGTTTCTTATGCTTTCGTTATGTATTTGGGGAAGTCTAGATAAATTTTCAGGAAAGAATGCATAGAGACTTACTAGAATTAAGTGACTTTGTTAATACTTATGTTAATCCTTGCTTGTCTTGGCCTGCTTTACTGAACTTTGCGTTTATTTTGAAGAAAATTAGTTTTGCCTTCAGCAATTAAAATTTAATTTTGAATTTTTAATAGATTTGCTTCGATTGAACTTGCAAACCCTCAATTTCATTCACCGAGTAAAGTTAAACCGAAATTGAGGTGAATGAAATTGAGGGTCCGCAAGTTCAATCGAAGCAAATCTATTCTGTACTTCTTGGGACTCGGTAAAAGAAGATAAACTTCCATTGATACAGATAAATACTGGCTGAAAACTCGTATATATTGTTATTCCTCATCGAACTGAAGTTAACTTTAACCTCAGCTGAAGATGAAGATATGGAGGTGTTACCTACTCCAGATACCACAAGAGGACTAACCCGGGAACGAAGGTGTAACTTTTTCATTAGATCAGTGGCAATTAAATTAATTTGGGAACCTGGATCTATCACCATTCTGCATGAATACCACTGATCTGAACTTGATCAAATTCTACCTAAGGCAGTAACCAGAAGTACCTGTGAGTTGGTGGTAACATGGCACGAAACTGCACGAGAATTTTTTGTTACTTGAGACTGAGAGGGTTCAGTGTTTGCAGCCTTATGTAACATCGTATGGTGACTCTTTTTGCGATAAACTTGGCAACAGCCTTTACTTTGGCATTTAGGCAAGCGATGAGGTCCTGTACAAGACTTCTTTATTAGGTCATAACGACCATTAACATCGGCATCCAGAAACTGAGGGCAGTTTATAATTTTATGGTTTGATTTACAGACTGGGCATTCTAAATTAAACTTCTGATTATCCGGTCTATTGCTGACTAAAAATGTCTTTCGCTGAACTTAAGGCTGTCAAATTTTGGATGTAGAAGGTTCGGAATACATTTCTGCAGGGTCTAAAATATTCAGTCCGAGATGCAGGTTAGTTACAAAATCAGTGAGGTTATTTACTTTAAGATTTGATAATATCTGTGTAATTTCGATGATGAATAAAAGCATCAAATAATGATTTAAACAAAAGGTTACACACACCGCCTCATGAACTTAAGATTCATGTTGCCAATCGCATTGTACAGATTTTAGAAGTAACAGAACCCAGTTGTTGGCACTATATTCCTACTTAACAGAATCCTGTTGATTGTTTATCGAGAGGCCTCACACCACACCAGATACTTTCCCGTGAGCTTTATTGGAACGACCCAGCATTTATTTCATTACATCCTTCTGACTGGCCTATTTACCTATTAAATATTCAATTACCTTCTCGGAGAAGACTCGTTAGAAGTTGAATTTATAAATGCGTTATATGCCACAAAAATAATGCGAAGCCACAGGCTCCGAAAATGGGTTACTTGCCGTCAGAGTGAATGAGGGTCGGTGAGTTGGAATAGACTATGGCTATGGCTAAGTCGAAATGTTGGTTAGCTCTCTTTGTATGTATGTCTACCAAGGCCATCCATTTAGAACTTGTGGTGGACTTATGACAGTGTAGACAGATTTATTGCCAGATGTGGTTTGCCTTCATACATTCATGGTGACTGTGGAACAAATTTTGATGGAGCATCCAAGAAGTTGAAGGAGCTTTATCAATTTGTTAAGGGCCATAGCGAAACCATTTCTGACCATTTGGGTCGGACGGGTATAAAGTGGACCTTTACTCCTCCAGCATCTCATTTCGGTGGTATTTGGGAAGCAGCTATTAAATCCACTAAGAATCACTTTATTGCTGTTCTCCAGGATCATGTGTTAACATATGAGGAATTTTATACACTTCTGGTACAAGTTGAATCCGTTCTCAATTCCTGTCCTATCTATAATGTTACCAGTCATCCTTGGGATAACCTTGATTGCCTTACCTGAGGGCACTTTCTTATAGGTCAATCCATCCTATCCAGACCAGAACAAGAAGACGCACCTGTGTTTCCTTTGACAAGCCGTTGGAAGAGATGGTATAATGAGTACCTCCAAAATCTGGTGCCTCGCAACAAGTGGTACTTTTTTTTTTTATTTTTATATTTGTTGGCCTTAAGCACGTCGACCCCTACTGGGTCCATTGTGCGCCAATTTCAGTTAGTCGTTTTGTTTGAAACGTTAATCCTGTCGCTTCCGCGTATCTAAGTAGGCTGGTTGGATTGACCGACTCATATCTTCTGGGGAGATCCATCTGTTCCTCCCCAAATACCACCAGTCTCAGCCTTATAAATCTATCACATCTGCATATGATGTGAAAAGCTGTTTCATTCTCCTCCTGACAGAATCTGCATAGCGGATTCGTCATTACTCGGAGATTGAACATATGATTATTTAACTTACAGTGACCTGTATAGATCGCTGTAAGTTTTTTAAGGGCTGCTCTGTCCATGTTCAGTAGCTGTTTACTTCTTTTTTTACATGGGCCTTCAAGGAACAGCTTCGAATGTCTCTGTTTCTTGTCGGTCCAGTAATTACAAAATTTGTTCCCATAGATCTCCCTGATCCTGCCCTTGGCAGTGCTGAGGCTGATTCCACAGACAGGCTCGGGAATTATAGGAATGGTGTCTGAGCCCAATCTGGCTAGCTCATCAGCCACCTCGTTGCCTGGTATGCCAGAGTGACCTGGCACCCACTCCACTGCAACTCTGTTGTGCTCAGTTAGCTCGTTAAGTGCTCTATTGCATTCCTTAACGACCTTTGAATAAACATAATAGTTGTCGAGAGAACCTATTGCTGCCTGACTGTCAGTATAGATGGTAATCTTTTTCTCAGTCACATTGGTTTGCAGTAGGTTTTGTACACAGTGGCAGATTGCCAGTATCTCAGATTGAAACACTGAAGCATACCTGCCAAGTGGTATAGAAATTTTTTCTTTTATATCTTTGCGATAGATGCCTGCTCCAGAGCCGAAGGCTGTTAGAGAGCCATCTGTATAGCAATTTATTCCACTATTTGGTTTATGACTTCTGCTGCTATCTATCCCAACCTTATATTTTCGGTCCTGATATTCTCGGATTAGAGTGTCAGAGTGCATAGCTAGTACTCCTTCACATCCAATCTTGTTCAGCAGTATTGTGTGTCCTCCCTGACAGGGGACTGTTGAATAGTAAGTTGACTTGCTTAACCTGTACAATATATTTGTTGCCCGAGCCTCCACCTCCAGCTGCAGCGGAGGCATGCCCAGCATCACCTCCATGGCAGCCGTTGGTGTCGTGCTCATCGCGCCTGTCATCATTATACAAGCAAGCCTTTGAGTCTTTCCTAATAAGGATAAGTTGGCCACAGTCTTTGCTTTGTGCCACCATAGCAAAGCTGAGTAAAGTATGATAGGTCTGACTGTCGTTGTGTACAGCCAGTATACCATTTTTGGTTTTAGTCCCCAATTCTTTCCTATCGCTCTTTTACAGGCCCATAGGCATTTGAGGGCTTTACTTCTCACGTTTTGAACGTGTTTAGTCCATGACAGTTTATGGTCCAAAGTGACTCCAAGATGTTTTACTTCCTTACTCAGTGTCACTTGGATGCCATTGATTTCCGGCATTTTAATAGCCACCTTCTTCTTAGTGAAGATACATACATTGATTTTCCTAGGGTTGATGCTTAGTCCTTTAATCCTGTACCAATTCCTAAGAATATTAAACACAGTACTGAGGATATCTGAGAGGACACTCTGATGCCTCCCTCCTATGAGGATGGTAATATCGTCAGCATATCCCTGAGCATAAATGCCTGCAGTGTTTAAGGCTTCCAATAATGAGTAACAAGTGGTATACTGTCAGAGAAAATTTAAAAGAGGGAACCCTTGTTATTCTACATAAAAAATATGTTCCACTGCAGAAGTGGCGGCTTGCCAGGATAATAGAGACACTTCCAGGATCTGACGGTGTAGTTTGGGTAGTAAAATTGAGGACTGCTACAGCCACTTTGATGTGACTGGTGCACAAGTTAGTGCCTCTCTTCTGGAGAAACCTTTTATTAATATGTATATTTTTCTTTGCTTAAATTTAATGAGTAGCCATTTTATTTTAAATGAATTGTATTTTATTGGCCTATCTTTGGTCTGGCTCACTTTATTTCAAATTTTCCAAAAATATATTTTGAATAGTTTCTCTCTTTGTTTATTGTAGACAAAGCAATTTTCCTGTTGTTTGTGCCTTGCCTGGTAATTACCAATCTATTAGTTTGGTTTTTTCTTTTTTTTTTCGTTTGTAAAATGAGATATTTCACAGTGGGGATATGTTTTGTGTGAAAGGTATTGTATCCGATTGTCACTTTGAGGCGAATAGTGAAAACAGATCAGATAAGATCTAAAAGATATAATTCAATCGGCCCCAGTTACCAGATGCACTCAACCCATTCCAACACAGATATTCCCAGAGGCATCAGCTGGAGAAGACTGGAGGGCCCTCTCAGTTAAGTAAGATGTCTATGTCAGCATAAAAGGGTGAGTTTATTTTAGACAATTCATATAACTTACTACTTCATCAAAATACAGTCCACTGTGAAAATAAGTTGAATGGTGCCTAAGTTGAACTCATAAAAGTTCTTTGCCTTTACTTTAATGAAATTTGGAAAGTTGCCTAAACAGCCTGCATTTTAGAAACACAAGGTTGTGTAGTTTGGTTTTTCAAAGTATAACCTTACATCTATTTTCTGTCCCTTGATAGTTTTTTACTCATTTATATTAATAAAAATCATGATAAAAGGTTGTACTGGGGTAAGAATACTTTTATGCTTGGTTTAAAATAGAGTGGTTTTTGATTCTCATCTATGAAAAAGCATAATTGATTTTAAACTGTGTCTTATAAATGACCTCTACACTTAACCATTTATGTTGACTTATAGATTCTTTTGTTATAAAATTTTTCAATGCTATAGTTTACATTTAGACCCATGATCATCTGTTCCTCTTCAGCCAGAAGAAAGAAGTTAAGAAAGATATATCTTTAGTCAGATATTTAGAACAATAAAAATCATGGTAAAAGATTGTATTCGTGGAATCTTTTAAATTTTTATAACTGTGCATTTGATTTCCATTTTTTAAATTCATAATTTATTTTGAAGCTGTTTCTTTTAAATGATCTCTACATATTAACTTTGATAAGAATCAATTAAAACCTTTATATGGATGGTATGGCTTACCATTCTTTAACTTTTTGACTTATTAAACCACCTTTAATTAACCATTCATAATATCAAGAGTATTTTAGTTTCAATTAATTTAATTGTTATGCTACATAATGAACATATTTAGTAATAATTATCTGTTTAATTTTATTTAATCAAATTCAACTATCATTTATTGGTAACTTGTAGCATTTTTATTTTGTTGTTTAGGAGAGAGTTTATGTTTGCCAAAGCACTATGGAAATCATGAAAATTCTAGGTTATGAGTCATGCTTCACTCGCCATTCTAATGAATCTAGAATTTTTATTGATAAAGCATTTATTAAAAAAAGGTTAGTCAAGTTGTTATAATGTTCTAATTTTATTTATAAAGTTTATATATATATATATATATATATATATATATATATATATATTCATGTGCTTGATAAATATTATTATCTTTAATTAATTTTTATTGATTTCAGGGGTTTTGGGCTTGAAAACATAGCAATTTACATTAATCGCTATTCTGAATCATGTAAAAGTTTTCAGAAAATTGAAAAAAAAGGAAATGTATATACTTTTAATTTTTATTGTCATAGCAATCACAGAGAAATTTGTGAATTACTTAGAATATTGAAACCTGAGTCAATGACTTTCCTTTTTTCAGAAATTGACAAGTCAAAACTTTCTTATGACTTTAAATTTAAATATGATTTTCCTCGGAATGTCTTATTCAATGGTATTTCAACTGAGGCTTCAAATAAAGTTGAAAGTGAAACGAATATGCTTGTGAAAAATATCCCTAGGCAATTGATTAAACCCAGTATTACTATTGATAAAGTTGTTCATCAGTTTTCAGGTAATGAAGGCAAAAACCTTGTTCAGAGTACTTCTGAAAATCGCTGTGTTACTAACTTATCTAAAGACTTCATTTGTCCTTTACGTATTCGTAAGGTTCCAGAAATTAATAATACTGGATTATCTAATGGATTAAATTGTATTATAGAAGGTGTTACAGATAATATAACTTGTAATAAACTATCTTATATAGGTACAAATGAAATAAATAATTACGACAGCCACACTTCTAATTTTAGTGCACAGTCATATGCTTCAGTAAAAAGCTTTCACAACTATCATAAGCCTCAACCAAGCAATTCTGTAGAATTTATAAAATTAGCCAATAATGATTCAACTGAAAACACATTGATTTCCAGTAATATAAACTCATTTTCATCATGTGTTGTTAAGACTAAAACAGGTGTGCCTTTGGTGTTTAATTCTAAGTTAGTAAAGGAAAATCGATTGACTGAAACAAACCCAAAAGGTATGCCAATATCAAATGTTGGTATGTCCTCTGTTGGCAAAAAAAATACCATAGTTTTAAATAGAAAATATGTTGATGTAAAAAAACCATATGTCGTCACAGTTCCAGTTAATGGTATTCAAAAGACTAAACTGAATGATGTTGAAAATGTAAAACATATTGTAATTAAAAAACCTCTCATGTTACTTAAATCTAAAACAGCTGATTCAGATTCAAACATGAAAAGACCTAATGCATTATTACAGCCTCCTTCCGATGTTTTGGATTTAACTAAACTGTTTCATGGTTGGATGGATAACGACATGACTTCTATCTCAAAAAATTCTTCTCAAACATCTGAAAACATTATAGATGAACATGAGGAATCAATTTCTGTTGGGTCTTATAATTGTGATAGGGATAGTATTCAGTTAAAATCACCAAGAAATAATACTAGTGATAATAATAGGAATTCTGATTCATTAGGAGATACTATCAATCTGCAAAATGAACATAATATTAATCAGTCATGTGAAACCCTAGCTGAATTTCATCTTAAAGGTAATCAGCAAAGTTGCAATGAAAAAAATAATGGTGATGATTCTATTATAACAGCTGCAGAAAAATCTCTGGTGAATAATAGAGCTACTGGTGGCAGCCCTTGTAAATCAACCAATGGTTCTGGACTGAAACCAGTTAATGCTAATACCTTGGAAAATAATAAAAGTGAGTTTTGTAAAAATGATTATCAAGCTGCTACTAATACTGCTTCTAATACAATTTCAAAACGACATTTGGCTGATGATGAAAATGGACAGTTAAGAAAAAAACTAAGAAGTGATAATTTAAGAAAGTATCTTATGCAAAGTTGGCAACAGAATGAACCTCTTTCATTGAGGGATTGTAGGATTTTAATTAGGCGGAACAGTTTTGAAAAAAGTTACTTCTATTCGTCAAAACATGATTGCTATCTTCCGAAATTCTATGGTTTTAGAAAGCATGAGGTAAGACCCCGTAACTTATTGAATACTTTACGGAATCTTCAAAAGCTTGTGATGGAAATTAATTATAATTAAGTTACCAGTACTCTGGCATTATTTGTCTGGAAATCGATGTAAATAGCTATTATGTAAATGTTTTGTATATTTGTAAATAATATAAGTTGTTTTAATATTTATAAATTTTATTTTACATTTTTATTTTGTACATTAAATTAAATCATTAATGGAAAGTTAATATACTTCTTTTTCTTTGCCTCTTGGATAAACTGAAATGATTTTTTTTTTCTCCTATTATTTTTTTGTATATTGAAAGAATAAATACTATGTTCTTTGTTACTTAATATTTTAAATATTGCAACCTTAATATTTCTTTATTTACTTAATTAAACATATTGACTGTATCACTTCTTTTTGAACCAAATGTAGTAGTAACCAGAATTATAATTTTCCCGAGAGTATTATGATGAAAATTATGTCCACCCTATGTGTTATTCCTCGTTACTCTGGGTTAAGAGGCTTTATGTCCGAAATAAAGAAATCATCACAAGGAATGTGAAACAGTTTAAAGGCAAAAAAATGATTTGTATGCATTAAAATGTTAATGTTTATTTCAAACCAATTAAGACTTCAATTATTGAGTGACCTCTTTACCAATTAATAATGCATTGCTATGAAGAAGTGACCTGAATTGATGAAAGTAAACGCATTGGAAAGCTTTTATATTAATGAGGTAGAGGCTGCAAGGTCTAGCGAGTTAAGGCGCCTGCAAAAATTTTAAGCTACGGGTTTAAATCTCATTTGCTGGATTTAAAATAAAATAAAAAAAAAAAGATAAAAATATCAATAATTAATAATAAATAAGTGCACTCCCTGCTCAAATGCTTAGACCACTACGGTGTGGGTTCGATTGCCGCATGGGGATGGTAACGTCCCCACACTGAGATTCACAGAAAGGTGAGCGACTTCTGTGTCTTCCAACAACATAGCTCCTGATCCTCCAGATTGGGGGTTGGGCACCAAGCCATTAGCTCTATCCTTTAAAAAAAAAAAACAGGATGGAGAAGTATACAAAAGGGTTGCCAACCATCCTGATGAAGAGGGAGCAATCAGTGATCGTGTTCAGTTATTATACATCAAGTGCTCTCTGGTTATCTATACGAGTATAAGAGAACCAAACGATCACAGCTGTCGCCTAGAACAGGCCCGTAGCTGCTAGAGGACTAATGACAGAAATCAAGACATTAGAAAAAAAAATATATATATATATATATTAATGAAAATTAAAGAATATATTATTTTAGACTGAAGAGTTATTATTTCATCCTTTTTCCTTCTTTATTTATTTTGCCCCTCAGTACTATGGGTTTTGGAAGTAGTTCCTGCCATATTCTTCCTTCCTGAATGTAATTGCCACAATTTTGAAGCTACTGAGGGCTCTAGAAGCAGTGGCACTCAAAATTGATTAATGTGTGTTGTAGTATGTATTGATAGTTTATTATAGTTAGGAATTTTGTCAATATAAAAGTGCTTTTATTTTGATTAATGTATTTATTATTAATATATTTTAATGGATCTAAAAGACAAGTTCATTTATTGATTTCTCTACCACATTTTTCATAACTAACTCGTTGATCAAGGAACTTACCTTAAGATATTCATCTTTAAGAGTGAATATCCTACATTGAGTGTCATACCATACAGCATATTAAGATATCACCATATGTATATTGTATGCTAAGCTATTTCATTCTGTTCATATAATCGTCAACTAAATCCAAATACAAAAAATGTTAGGTCTACATCAACTTCTGTAAAATCCTATCAGACTTCTTGTACTTGAGGTAGGGGAGATAGAATAAAGGGCGATTTTAAGAAGTTCAGAAATCATACTAACTGGTGAAATATCAGGACATAGTTGTGCATTCATTAGCATTAGAGCGGTGCGAACGCGTCAAACCATTTTATTAAATTGAAAGGAATCTCAGTGTTTTCTTACCTACTTTCAATTTATTTGACACTATTACTTCACGCTACTTACTATTACCTTTGTCACTATTATCAAGCCAGATACAGGTGCAATCCAAAAAGGTCCGCATTGGTTAGTTCAATGGGATGCCATCTCATGCACAATGAACGCACTTATTAGATAGAATAAATAATGTGATAACTAGATTGTCTTATGTGAGCTCAATATTTATGCTTAAATGCTGTTAATACTTAATTTCTAAATCATCTCAACTCTCGGAATGTGGATACGGTCTCCAAGTTTACTGGATCTAACAACATGGAATTTAATCTTGTGGGATTATGAGAAGAGTGAAGTGAGAATAAACCAACCTGAACAGTTAAAACATTGAACGATCAGATCTGAAAAATGAAATAATTTCACGGGAAATACTACTAATATATATGGATGAATAACTTTGCCTGGAACAATGTTATTGAACGTTCTCATATTAGAGTGTTTTTTAAATTTAGTTACAGTTACTTTAATGCCTTTTTATGCGATTTACAGTGGTAAAAATAGAAATTAAAAAATTGTATATTTTTAAGAGCTGTTCAAATTTTCTTTACCCTGCCATATCTTGTTACTTTACTGTCTTAGTGGTCTTTCAAATACATATCAGAGATCTACCAGAGGGAAGAGGGCTGAAGCCCCTCCCCTAAAATAGAATTTTTTTTTGTGTCCATCCATATTTGTGTTTTTGTGAGTGATCTCAAGCTTAATACTAACACGATAAATTTTTTCTGAAAATTATAATGCATGTACAAGTTCTAAATGTAAGCAAGAAAAATAAAAAATAAAAATTTAACTCTAAAAGCAAATAGATCTTGTGGGTCCTTTTTCGCTAAACCCTCAGGGCCATTTCGGGATCGCCACCATGTACTGTTCTGAGTGGGAATGTCAAGATTCATTCCTCGCCCATATAAGATTGATGCTATAGGAGTAAAAAAGATAATAGTTCATCAGCAAGGTGGCCTTCCCATCAGAAATCAGCCCATCCAGGAAGATGTAGTTTGATGAGATGACCTCTGATTTAGTATAAAATATTTCGAAAATTAGTTAAAACAATGTCACTGACAATGTTGCAAGTGAAGTTACAACTTTTTAAGTTAAAAATATATCCAATGTTAAAGGAGATTAAGAGACACCTATGATTTCATTTAGCCAAAAAATGTAGTTACAACCTAACCAAGCATAGGTAGGGAACTTATAACTTGATAAAAATATAATACAAATTTAATCTCTCATTTATATACATATGTATGGAAATATTTTTATTGTTTGCCATATTTCAGAACCATTATATTCCTAACAATTTGTTACATTAATTTTAATTGCCAACTGGAATTTGAAAAAATTAATCCTACAAATTTCCTCCAACTTTGGATCAAGATAAATGAGCTATTAAAATATAGTCGAAGAAGAATTCATTCGCACATCCATTAGCGGAAGTATTTCTTTTTAAATAAATGAATAGAATTTGATGAAATGGACAACTACTTAATTATTTGATGACCAATTCCTAACCGAACAGACGTAATAATTCTCCAATTTATTGCCTTAAAGCCCCTAACCTAACCTCCTCCTTAATTAAATGTTCTGTTTTTTAGACTGCTTTATCAAGAAAAACACGTTTGCGCACATATATAAAATAGAATTTTTGGTCAAAACAACATAATTTGACTTTTTCCCAACTTTCTAAAAATGACATGTCTGTCTTTGATATGAAGCCACTCAAATTTTTTTTTTGCTTTTTCAGATTTAGATGTGTGATATAAAAACTAAAAATTGTTTAACATTATTCAAAGATTATAAGTATTAATAAAAGTAGTATTCATTACAATATTTTCTGTTTTGTCTCTTAATAACGAACACTCTTCTCAGTATATTATTTTAAAACAGAACACAGTGCAGAAATATGCATTGTCCTAATTTCGCTATTTGTTTCATTTATCACAATGTCGAAAAAAAACTTAGTAATCAGTAGCCGACCTGAGATATTTGGCACTCCCAGGCAATGACGTCAGCTCCTCCCCTTAAAAAAAAATTGATTTCTTAAGCTCTTTTATGTTCTATAATATTTCAAATTTTATTTCATTCAATTTTCTCTAATACAGTTGCTTTATTAATAGACTAAAATTAATTATTTTAACATGTTTTTATATTTTTGTTAAAAATTCTTAACAAGTGGCAAGTGCCCCTATTGCAATTGCCCCAGTAGCTCGACCTTAAGGCCGGCACTGCTAGTTACCAGCAATCGCTTAGTTTTTCCTCTCTAACGCTTTTGTCAGTGGCTTAAAAAGGCGTGAAATTAGCTTCTTTTTTTTAAGATGAGGCAATAAACAGAAATAAAAATGTTTCTTAGAATGTTCTAAATTTAATGTTAAATTTGTATATTCAAGACAATATAAATCTCATATAAAAGAATATAAATTTAATGTTATAGAATTTTTTTTTTTATTTCATAATGACATTTACAACTATGTTAAATAAATACATCTAGTAAATTTGGACATAATGGATATAATGACATGAAAACACTGGCTGAGTAACTACCCAATGGTAACACTCTAAAAAATCTAGAATTTAAGTAGTAAAAATTATTAAAATGTGAATATCTCAATATTTAAATTTTAACACTTGGAACGAACCCTAATAATCTCAAATAGTTGATTTTCTTTGCCTCTTATCCTATAAATTGTAAGAATGCAAAATGGTCGGGATGTGCAGCTAAAAATTTATTGGGTTTACAGATGTTTCAACCCAAACATGTGGGTTATCATCAGAAAATAGTTTGAAGACCGTGTAAGAGAACAAATTCATGTGGCAGAGCATAAAATGATTTATAGCATCAAATAAATCAATGATAATGGCACGTAAACAGTGAATAAATAATCACAAAATAAATATATCTGATGCCTCCTAGTATTATCATGTTCTTCATACATTTAAAGAAATATATATAAATGAAATGTTGCCAGATATATTTAAGATATCTCTGAGTAGTAAACGATCCAGGATTTAATTTTATGGGCTCAGCCCGAATTTTTTTTTTAATATATAAGATTATTACTTTGGAAGAAAAAGAAAGAAGCTAACCATCTATATAAAGTGGTGTTCTAATTACTTGTTATTCTATGGTAATGGTAATCTAATTACTTGAACAATAATTCTATTAGAGGTAGTTTTTTCATAAGGCATGGTTTTACCATTTTGGGGGCTTCAGCTTGAAAGCTCGCCCCTTAGACCCGCTTGTGTCTTAGTACTCATAAATATAATGCTGGTGTTAAATGTCTTATGTAAATTGATTTTGTCTCCGCCCTTCAAACCGTTGCCCTTATGAAGACCCACATATTTGGGTCAAAACATTGGCAAACTCAATAAATATCATTTTTTAATACACATCCTGACAATTTTTCGTCCTTAAAATTTCAGCAATCAACTATATACCTATCTCTATCCTATATTTTTTTTAATTAATTCACTAACATGCTTCTAATGTAACTATATAAACTCCTAAGGCAGACAGATTTTTACAAACAAAAGTCCCAATTTGCGCAAGGCGTTGAACCCCAACACAATATTTATAAGCACTCAAAGGTTTATTAAATGTATGAAGAACATGATAGTATTAGAATGGTGGTAGGAGGCGTCAGATATATTTCTTTTGTATTTAGTAAATGTTTGGGCGCCATTATCGTGAGTTTATTTGATACTGTAGCTCATTTTATACTATGCCACATGAATTTGCTTTTTAACTAACTTTTGTTGTACCATAAATATATTACAATTATAAGTTCAAAGAAACTCCAATTAAACTTGTTAATTTTTATTCAATTCCTTTAATAACTTTGTTATAATATATTGAAAGCTATGATAAAAATTGTATGCATGAATAATTAATTCTTGATATATTTTCTCCTTAAATTTAATATCAGTTCACTGTTATGTTTTCTTTTTTATAAAATACTAATTAATTCTGACAGTCATTATTATAAATGATCTTTTTCTATCATAAAATTCAAAGACATAAATTTAAATAAAGTATAACTAATCTAAACTTTTGGATATGATTTTTTATGTTCACGCTTAGTTAAAATCTTGGCCAGATTCTATTGAGTGGCTCTCCGATTTTTAATTGTTTCTTGTTACCTTTTAAGTAAATCTGAGGATAGATCAGACGATCTTGCTGATTTATTTCAGCACTCATGAAAATAAAAACAATTTTCTCTAAAATTATGTTTTATGGAAGTAAATTGAACTTGATGAATGAAAATAATGTAGGTCTTAGATTTTTTACTAGAGTTTAACCCATTCTATTGAATGTTAAGTGATTTTCTAATACACACTCAATGTGTATCATATATGCAATGATTTTATTAATCTAGAATTCAAATTTGAAATTCCTCTACATTGTATTTATATTTTTTGTTTTCGATTTTAAATAAATGAATAAATACATCGGATGTTGATTATTAGATCCCAGATGATTCACAGTTACTGAACCATAAAGGCCTCAGAATCAATATAAGTTATTGAAATATAAAATTTTATAAAATTAGAATCAAAATCGTTATTATTTTTAA